ATAATTTTAAATAACATTCGCAAAAAGAATATCAATAACAATTACATACTTTTGGCTATATATATTTGTGTAATCATGAAATGCCAACATCCAAAAATCTGCGGTTTTGATATCTCACTAGAAAAGTCTTTACGGCTGTTATATATTTATTTTTAAATAAGGAAATATCTTTTATTTGTTTAAAAACACTCCACAGAAAATCAATTTGGATAACATAAAGTAGCTGAAATCAGTCACGATCCTATAATAACAATTTTTTATAATAATGTGACCAAAGAACTTTATCATACAAATCCTGCTTGCTGCATATAACTTATCTAAAGAATATACTGAACAGAATTTGGTTCCAAAAACTAATCCAACAGAAGTATACAAAACGTGTTGAATGTCAGAATCGAGCCCATAAAAAATGCTATTTATGTGCAAGAGACCAAGTATTTATTACTAGCACAACTTGACATAATTCCTTTCCGGCTGTCAGTCACTGAGTTTGTTGATGTTGCTTTTGCTGCTGCTGTTGTTGTTGTTGCTGTTGCTTTTTAGTTGTATGTCGCAAAATATGTGACTTATTGCATGTTGCAAGTATCAACTAAATTGAAAGTGTGTCCGTCCAAGGAATAAACGTAGCATGTACAATAACTTATGGTCGGTTTAGTCTGATTGCTTGACTGCATATCCGCCAGTGGCTTCCATAGCTCAACATTTGACTACTTGGCAGGTCTGCCAGCCTCCTTGACTAGCTGCCTTGTCATTTTGTTCGTATGAAATAAATAAGTTAATATGTATCTGTTATGTTCATTGCTTGTAACTGTCCGATTATCTGTCATACACTTTATTATTATACGCCTGCCGGCGGCTACCACCTTTACACGTACGAGTACGTATGCATGTTTGCCAGTTACAGTACAGTATCTACAGATACGTATGGATATACCCGTATTTATGCGAACAGTATTTTCATTATTTTCACATTGCATCGTTCAATTGCCATCGTCAACAAAAAGTTTCAACTTAACAACTTCATCAACAATATAAAGATGCTTACTCTGCCTCTTGCCTCTTGCCTCTGCGTTCAATGACAAAATTTTTGTAGATATTTTTTTTTTATTTTTGTATATTTTTATCTATAGTCTCACACTACTTTTATTAACTTTTAGTGACTTTATCAACAACTTGTATTATTTTGTCTCAAATCGCAACGGCGGCAGACACACGTTCGTTTAATAGTATCTTTTTCTGGTATTCTTGTTATATTTTTTGCTCTTGTGGCAGTTAATTTTGTGTCAGATAATCAGCAAAAACACGAAAATGCGTTAATGGCTTTGAGAGTAATATTATGATTATTATTATGTAATTAGATTATAAGTAATTTTCAACTTTAGATTTCTTGTTCGTGCTGCTTGAATGCTGCAGTCGACAATGCGTGAAAATTCTATCTCAGCATCAACTTCCACACTCAGCACTCACAGATTCACAGATTCACAGCTTCAAAGTTTCTTAACTTGCTTCCAAGATTCTTTTTATAGATTGTGTGAGAGGGAACGTAAAATGTTATTAAGTTTACTGTTTTTAAATTTGATTGCTATTTAATTTTACAGGGTTTTATGAACTTGATGGTTGCTTTTATATCTGAAACTTCAATTCGGCTTTTTACATGTTCATTTACTTTTGACCTGTGACGTGTAAATTAAAAACAACACCCTGTATAAATACTTTCTGTTACGCTTAATTGGCTCGATTTCACATTGTTCTAAGCGCATAATTTTCGACAATTTTATTAAAATGTTTTTTATTTTTGTTTTTTTTTTCATTTTCCTGCCACAGTAAAAGTTTGTATGGCTTTTCTTCTTCTTGCCTCATAATTAAATGCTACATTCAACACTTCATTCACTTCACTCGGCAGCACGGAAGTAACTAAGTTGCCTCAACTTAGCTTGGAGCTGCTTCCCAAACGCCATTTTGTATCCGAAATTCCAGCATTTTTTGTTTTATTTAATTTTCTAAACACATCCGCGGTCGTTCAGGAGGCATTGGCTTAGTTGAGTTTCAATTGCTGCACATCAGAATCAGTATAATGAATTTAAAGTGTTTTTTGCCTACCTACCAGGAAAATTGCTTAATTACAACAATTATTCGACCCTGAATGCTTGAGAGTTTGAAAATTCGAAGCCCGTTTAAATAAACCTAAGAAGAGCCAGCCTTGAGTCCTTTGCAAGGATTCGTTTGGTTGTACAGACTGTACGCGGCGTTATTTGAGGGTAATTTGAGCGTAAAAGTCGCGTAATCACTGTGAAATTTGACTTTATTTTATTCATGTCTATTATTACTATTATTACTTATGTTGTTGTTGTTGGTGATGGTGGTGGTGTTGTTGTTGCTTCTACTGTATTTTCTATTTAATTGAATATTTTCACACCTACTTTAGCAATATTAAAATCTCCGAAATTTAGTGGCATAAAGCTTGAGGCTCCAGCATGAGTTCTCGGTTTCCTTAGTAATCTAACAAATACATTTAAATTCATTATTTTGACTTTTGAGCAAGGGCATTTGCTGCGAGTATATCCTTGCAGATCCTTACACCACTTTTGCTAATAGTCAGTTAAGCTTATAAATTTAGTTGCTCGCAATAAATAAGAAAAATTTCATATATTTTTCATTTTAATCTGATAAACTTTTGCGCAAGTAAACATTTAATGAAAGAAAGTCCAAAATAAAGGGACAAAGGAGCGGGGAAGCATTTTCATTTAACATAAATTTAAGGGAAATGCTAAAATTTGACTTTGTTGTTGCTATTGTTACGATTGCTGCAATTGTTGCTGCTGCTGCTGTCGCTACTATTTGTGCTGCTGGTATTGTAAGTGAGTGCAGACAGTGTTTTTGTCCAGTTGTAAATGTAATTTAAATTGTAATTGTTGCAGCAGCAAATGTTGCAAGTGCATGACAAAGCTTAGTACAATAGCAGTGACTCTGTATAATTGGATTGTCTGGACAAATTATTTAGTGTCGACAACCAAAAAAAAAAAAATGCACAAGAAAACTAGCAAACAGACCAAAATTTAAATTTACGCTTAAGGATAATGGGAGAGTAAAATTTTAATCAAATTAAATGGAATTCAGCAACTTAACTTGAGGAACTTAACAATGTTTGTTTCTAAAGTCAACAAAAGTACACAAATCGTCTGGTTGGTTGTCTTCTCATTTTATTTACATAATCGCTGTTGAAGCTAAGATTGCAATATGAGTCAAATTCAGTTTATTTTAATTTACTTTAACTTCCATATTTGCTTTATAACTTAGATCCTAAGAGTAGCATTTAAGTAGCCTACTAGAGATAATCAGTTTGGTTTTGTCAGTATTAATCCTATGACAGACATTTCTAAGGGTTCAAGAAATTAAACTCAATTATAAAGACACATATCCGTTATGTATCTTAAAAGTAATAAAAAATGTTGTTTTGTTTAAGTTAAACAAGCCTGCTGATGGTCCCTTATGTCGTTTTTTAAATAAAACGTAAACTATTGAAAAACATTTGTGGTTTGTTTTTCTGAAAAAATGGAGTATATTTGTTAAACACCTCATGTTTCTGATAAGGACGGAAATTGAAGTATGATAAATGCTCCTTCTAAAGGTTGAATACACAAATTCAACCAAATAGAGATGGATAAATCAATGTATTTCTATAAATTTAATATCCTCGATAAATTGTAGTATAGAATCTCCATCCATATATACATAAGTAGTCCTGCACTTAAAAAAAAAATGAACGTTCGGACCTATACGCAGAGAGGTTCCTTTTTTCCTGACATTTTTGATTGTTATTTCATTTCTATTTGAAATAGTCTTTTATGCCAAGCACATTCTGCTTATCTGCTATACTTCATCACCAATATTGATATCACTTCATGGAAATTAAGCACTTTGATTTCTACCAGATTATGAATTGCGATAATTATTTCATGATTCTGTTAGTCGCGTTGAAGATTGAAATGAACACATCTGACTATCATGTAAATTTCTGCTTGAAAAATAGTTTTGTTTATCCCAAATGCTTCCGATTATGTTAGTCTCTCTTTATTACCATCTGTTCTAGCTTCTTATTTACTGAAGAAACTATCCATACACCATGCATACATGTTCTTAGTATATATTGTAGATTTTCGATATACCATTCCACTGAGCTTCCGATGGTACGTATTTTACGACATATGAATTTTAGAAATCTGTATTGCAAGTTCAAACCTCGTATGATCAAACTGTGTCTGTGGTTATCTTGAGCTCTCAGAATAGAACTCTTCGTTTGAGATTGGATATCAATATAATGAGGTAAGAGTTCTAAGAGAGCCTTAATAGATTTCCTCAGACATGTTCGCAAAGGTCCCATAATATTTATGCATACTTTTGTTTTGGAGAATGTTAAATGAGTTGATCACCCATTGCTTGCTTTGGGCTATTCTTAAAGCCGACTCCAATATAAAGAAATTATAGTTATAATGAAAGTCGTTTTGTATTGCTTCAAATAGTTTTTAATGATGTTAAATAAAAAAAAACTTGTTTGATTTCCAACCCATACTTAGATTGCGTTATCTCTTCATTAGTATCAACTTAAAACAGTCATACTTTTCGGTTAGAACTCGTATATAGATTATATAAATGCTCCACCAAATAATTTGTTAATGTCAGAATGTGAGAAATTTCATTAAAGTTACCTCAAACAGACATACGTGACAGTTATTACATACTTAACTTACTCTTTGTAGTAGACGAAAATAATTCCAATAAATCAAACCGCAGAATGTTCAATTTCATTTTAATGAGCGCACTGCCATTGCAATTTTAGGAGGAGTAACGAAGTTTTAGATACTTTATTTCAGCAAAACTCTAAAGTCAATTAAAAAGTAATTAAATTAATTGTACAAAATATTTAAACTTTTACATATAGAAACACCATATTGTATGTCATTAATTTAAGTTACTCAAATGATTTTTTTTATTGTTTTTAGGACCTCCTGGCCCACCAGGTCCACAGGGCAAAAGAGGGAAGCGTGGTAAAAAAGGAGATTCTGGCGATAAAGGCGACCCGGTAAGTCACAGAAACTATTTTTTATATAGAATATCATTTTTATCATCGCTGTCATATAACAGGGTCTTAATGGTATTAATGGCGAAAAGGGTGCACCAGGACGACCTGGTGATAAGGGTCAAAAAGGCGATGTAGGTCATCCGGGCATAGATGTCTTTCAAACTGTTAAGGTAAATACTTTGAGATTTATACAAAAAGCTGACTAATATAAATTAAAATTGCTTCGCTAAAATTCTTCTAATGAAAATCTGATTTGTAATGAAATATTTTTAGGGTTTGAAAAGATCAGTTACGACTTTACATGGCGGCACCTTAGGTTACGCTGAAATTGTAGCCGTTAAGGTATTTTTTTTCCTGTAATTCCTCTAAAAATAAAATTTGGTATTCCCTTTCGTAGTTTTATGTGAATTCAATTGAATTTTTATTGTAGATTTTTATTTTTGGTTTGGTTTTGGAAAGTGAGTATTTCTCAATAAAATAAAAATAATAATGGGAGCATTCAGTTGCGGTACATTGTAGTATCTTTTTTGGTTTTGTGTGAATTTAAATGGTTTTCATGCTCAGTTTGTTTGGTTCGGTTTTGAATTCAATTTTAAACAATTTTCATTTTTACAATTTTCACTAAAAGTTTTATTTATTTTTTTTCAAGTTTTTAAGAAGTCGTTTTTATATTTTTGAGATTTAAAATAAAATTAAAATTTTGTTGAATAAATTAGAAAATCGTGTAATAAAATAAATAAATTTGCTATTCTTTCTTACGAATTACTTACTTTTCACGGTAATTATTGAATATTTTCTCATAGAACATACGAGCATCCCATGTATAGGGAATAAAAAGGTTAAATATGGTCTTCTGTTCTCCGAGCGCAAATGGAGAAATTAAGGTCTATGTTCTTTTACTTTTCACATTGCAGTAGAAATAAATATGGATCTATAATATAAGACAATATAATTTGATTTTAAGACTTTGAAGTTATTTTAAGACTTTAAGACCAAATAATTTTATTTCCGAAATATCAAGACATATCATATCAGTAGTTGATACGACATAATACTTTGCCTTTCCATTTTTATTAAATTTTAGATTAAAACTAAGCATGTCTTACAAAGTAATATTATTTTTGCTGTGATCAGTGATATAGCCAGAGTTGTGGAAAGATGATAATAATATACTAGAAAATATATTTCTTTTATCATCTGACTAACGATCTTAACGTCAAAATCCCACGTTCAATAACACTTTCAGTGAAGCCTGAAGTATTTTGGACCTTTGAGTTTGCTGGTGAGATTGAGAGTATTTGTAAAATGCAATGCAAATAATAAAGAGAAGTATGTTGCCATTCCGTAGTAAAACAGGAACAATTGATTTTAAAATTTGCTATGTGATTTGATTATTGGCCAATATATCATATATCAAACGTTGTTTTAGCAATGTGTACTATATCTCCGTTAGAACTCAATATCTTGTGTGAGTTGCCAGTATTTAGCAGATAGGATGTTGTATATTAATCTCTAAATTAAAATGTGAAGTTTCAAGTCAGTATAACTTCAGTAGAGTTTTCAAAATTAGGATTAATATGTATCATAGTTTAATTTTTGGATTGTAAAATATTCGTGATTACAACTCATCCTTTCAATTCAATCGTATAACAGATTCAAATATATTCCAATCCTATAAATAATTTTTACTTGTATAGTAATTTTATCATTATTTATTTATATAAATAATATATATATATATAATATATCTACATATGATATATTTTCGTCCATGGAAATTATAAAAATCTCTGATATAAAATTCTCTTCGTTCTACAGCATCATTAAACTATTAGTTCATTCACCTGTGATCTAAAGGATATTTATACTATTGTAGTCCTTCCGATGAAGTTCTGCGCTGTCTTAACTTATTACTTGACTTCATCTGTGTTTTTTATACATTTTTAAGCGTAACTGTTGTAAAAGAAAGACTTTAGGATAAATAAACTTAGATATCCTTACCCATTGTGGCTGGTTTTTGTTATTTTTTTTTTGATTATTTAAGTTTTTATTATTAACTTTTTAAAATTTATTAAATTAATTTTTACACTAATTTTTGTTTTGAATTTATTATTTATTTTTTATATAATTCTACACTATTTTTTGTTGTAAGGGTTTACAAGAAGCCGGCGTAAATATTTCGTCTGCAACTGTCATACAATTGAAGGTAAGTTTAGTTGGTTTTTGTTATGGAAAATTACTTACAAATTAAGTAAACCTATCCAGGCATGTAAACACTTTCCTTTATTTTAGTCTTCTATATCTCAATTATAGTAAAAAAGGTAAAGGTATCACATTTTTGAAATATTTTTGTCATGCTTGTACTAAGTAGTTTGTTTATTGTTACTTAAAATCTTTCAAAACACTATTTGCATGTCGCACTATAGAAAGATAAGGATTTGTTGTGATAATCTATTCATTCATAAAAACAGGGCGAACCTGGAGAGCCTGGACCACCAGGACCACCTGGTCCGCCCGGCGAAGCTGGTCCACCAGGCATAAATGGTGAACGTGGACCACCAGGCGAAACAGGACCAGCAGGACCAGTCGGAACACAAGGCGAGCCTGGCCCTGTGGGACCACCTGGAGCGCTAGGCACAATCGGCCCAAAGGTGAGTATAGAGATTCATAGAAAAAAAAAACTAATTCATTAGAAAATCAAAACAAAAGCAAATTCCTAAATAAATAAATACATAAAATTTAATTGCCTACATTGTTGTTTATGTTGCTGGGATGTGTCCTTTGTGTAAATATTTTGACAACTTAAATATCAACATGTGTAAAAAGTACGTGCGTGCGTACGTGCGGCAAATCTGTCAAAGAAATGTATCTATTCGTATTCTATTTTCATTCTCCAACAAATACAAGTACCGCAGTCAGTCTGTTACCTGTGTCACTATTCACACTTAGCCAGTCTGTATCTGCTTGACTGTTAATATGGGTATTTGTATTTCTATAGCCAATAGATAGTCATTTTTTCAATTCGATTTTCCACTTAAATTGTTTCTGACTTATTTTATCTGCGCTGCTGTTATTGACAACATTACTAGTATCTGCTTTTGTTTTCGTTTTCCATTATTTTAAGATTTTTTATAAATATTTTCCTTTTACATATAAAAGCATATTCATTTCACTTTTACCTTTGACTTTTACAGGGTGACAAAGGTGATCGCGGTGATCGTGGCTTAACCACAACAATCAAAGGCGACGAATTTCCAACTGGCATTATTGAAGGGCCACCAGGGCCTCCGGGACCACCAGGTACGTAGCTAAATGACGAATGCATTAATGCAAAGTCTGTCATTGGCTTTTGTACGAGTATTATTTTTATTTGTTTGTTTATTTTGTTTTTGTGGTCGTGTCTAAGCAAACACTAAACGAAATTACACTGCCAATTGTGCAATGCAGCAGACGTATCTGTATCTCGAACTACACAGGGTATGGTACATACTAACATAGATGCTCGTGCCTGCCTGTGTGTATGTGGCGTTCATTAGAAAACTACTGGTAGTTTAATTTATTGCGCCACTGCAGCAGCGAACGCATTCGTGCGTTTCCCATGCCACGTTTTGTTTAACGTTGACCGATGTTTCGGCGAGTGTAAATTTCAACACTACAAAAATTACACTGAAAAAATATCTGATAATCAATGTACAAGTACATGTGACTGGAATGTGTACTCTTGTCATTTACTTTACCATCCGCGGTTGGGGCACTCACAGCCGCTGTGAATCACTGCAGTGAAAAATGAGTGCTGGGAAGTAATGCGATACGTACGGGGTTGATTGGCTCTGCAGCACTTAATTGAGTCACTTGAGCGTCATTCAAAGCAGATTGATGTGCGACGTTTAATGATAAAATTGGAAAAACATTGGATAAATATTTTTCCTACTTAGTTTTCATTTCTGTTTTTATTTGTATTGTTGTTGTTATTATATTTAAATTCAATATTATAAATGCAGATTTAAATTTATATTTACACAGACGTTTTTAAAATGCATATGAATTTAAAAACAACTGGGCTTTATTATTATTCGAACATATGCTATTCGGATTCTAGATACCTTTGTGTTTAATTCAAGCAAATATATGTCCAATAATTTTATAATTAATATGATTTCATAAAAGAGATATATCTTTACATACTACATTCTTATTGGGTTTTAATTAAATAATTATTTCTCCTTCTTCTATAAAAATTTATTACATGTTATGTATTCACAAAGGAGAATTAAATTTATTTGCATATTTTTAACGGTGAAAGGATTAAATAACAGTAGTAAATTTCTTCCAAACTATATAGTAGCTATTTCATTCTACGTAGAATGAAAAAAATAAAGCGCTAAGCCCGTTCACTCAGTCAATTCAACACTCAAAGCGAATATCCATGGCGCCCAGATAGTGTTCCCAGTAGGATCAAAAGCGTGTCCACCATTATAAGCTGCTAAAATGTGATATTACTGAAACTATTACTGTAAAGCTGTACAATTGATACATTTGAATATAACTATGGTCGATCAATGGCCAGAATAAGCAATCTAACCCTAATCCCTTATTTTTTATTAATCCGTACAAATGTTGCAGTAGCGGTTAAAAGTTATATCGCTATTTTGCTCTATGTAGAATGTCCTTTCAAAAATAGTATTCATTTTTTTTCCTTATCTTAGTAGGTGGAAAGCATCGAAAGTCGAAAGCCTTTAATCCACTGAAACCACGTTTTAGTGGTCTACAGTCCCTATGACATTGAGTCATAAGAAAACCTGTTCACAGCAAGCCTTTTCACTAATTTTAGGTAGAACGAATTTTGTGTGCCTGTAGTTATCTTGATTCCACAATCTGTGTTTGTTTCACATTGACTCGCATCATAAAAAGATAGTCTTAAAAAAGATTAAAACAACCTAAGATAAAATTGCGGTCGACAAGGTACCGCATTATAACAGATTTCTGCAAGTTTGATTACAACTACATTTTCTAATATAATCCTTCAAAGGCCAGAAACCAATTGATAGGTTAAGTCACTTTATATATCGACACTCATACGTAACTTTATTATCACTTAGAATTATGATGATCCGCCATTTCTATCCAAATTCAAAAGGTGGTTTCATGAACCTCATGATATCTAGTGGTTTTGCGTGAAGAGTATATGCTTGCGAATTTAAAACTATTTGCTATTCGAAAAATTTACCAGCACCCGAGCCCTTTTCAGTTTTTGAGCCGTCCGTAAAATATGCGAATCAGAATCAAGTTTCAGAGAATCAGATAGTACCAACTGATAACCAAGCGATATTTAGAATACACGAGTATTCTTTAAACAAATATTAAATATTACAATTTTCTCACTATATCTACTCAGTAAATGTTGCAAGCTAGTGTGGACTGTGATTATTCTTCAAAATTATTATTAAATATTCACGAAAAGCACTTCTAGTTCTAATGACATAATTTAATATTATTTATATTTTATGTTTGTTTTTATTTTTTATTTATAACTTTAATTAGTTGTGGTGTCAGTTGAAATTAAAGTTTATCTCCAGCCAAAACTTAAGTAGTTTTTTTTAATGCAAATAGAATATAAAATCCCCACTAATTTTTGACGGCAACGGAAATGCATTTGCTGTGGCTCGTTGTGCTCTCGCCACACATCGTCCAAGCCAGAAAGAATCTACAAATGTGTGTTAATTAATTAATAAAAAGCAACAACAAAAAATAAATGAATATTTTATATGCTTCTTCTTTCTATTACTTATTTTATTATTTCTTTTATAGTTAACTGCACTTAATTTTTCACACATTTTCCCCATGCTGCCCTTTATAGTTTGAACTTTTCTAATTGCGTCCCGATTTTGTTTATTTTTCGGTGTCGTGGAATATTAAATTTTAATTTGTCAACAAATTTAAAAGCACTTTTATGCCACTTCATCGCTTTTAACACTTAATAAAATTACATTATTTTATCGCTCCGTCCCGCATTTTAGAAAATAGAAAATTTCGTTAAATTTTAAAAATTTTTCCGATTTTTCCGATTTTGTTTTTCCGCTTTTCATCGAACATTTGAATTTTATTGCAATTTATTTGCTGTGAAAAACCTTACACAAGAAAATCTGATAGAAAGATGGATAATCTTTTAAGCGCCGCTGTCGTTCACACACATTTCCACTACAAATTTGGCATTTTGGTGCGGAGTCCCCCACTTCAATGCATTTTCCGGCTGCCTTAAGGTATGCGTCATTCGGTCTTAGGCTTTGACTTTGGGTATGCGGAAAGAATGTTTTGATTTGGATTAATTGACCGTCGTTTGTAAACTTTTTTCCCGTCTTCATGCTCTTGCATCTTATCGTATCTTATCATTAACGTAATTAGTTACGTCAATATATTGACATTCTATGCCTTTATAATGTAACTTGATTTATGTCAAATGTTTAGAAAAGTTTTTCTTATTTACACGTACACGTTTCGTTGCTTATCGAAAAAAGTAACCAGCAGATTTAACAAATTATTGAGATAAATTGTGGCATATATTAAAATTATTAACAAATGCCATTAATCGCCGTGTCCAGGAAAAAGAAATCTTAATTTTGTTCGCAGTAAATGGAATTGTAGAGAAATTTTACGGACTTAAATGTTATGTTTTAAATCCGAAGTCATGTCTATGAAGAAGGAGATTAATTGACATAAGGGTAGTTGATATGAGAATATCATTCTTCATAATTTTGGATGTGTTTTAGTCGGAGAGTTGAATAATACTGATTAACACATTATTATTGTTCTGTGGTTGCTATGACCTCTGACCTCTTCGTTTTAGGTAGAATTCGTCACTTATATTGTCAATTTGCTGTGATTAAAATAAAGCTTTCACTACATGATTATATGTTATGGAAAATTTTCAAGAGATTATATTTATAATTTTACTTTATTTTTATATTTCTTTATTTATTCTTTCCTATACTTTAACTGTCACTATTTGTTAACTACTTTTATTTTTGTTATTACAATTGTTGTCATATAGTACATATGTACCTCTATTTAGAAGTATATATGTTGGTAAATAGTGAGTTTATTTTATGTCATCAATTTCGTCATACGTCAACAATTATTTGACATCTTGGTGTAATCATAGGAATGACGCCAGACAAAATTTTCATAACAGAAAGTCTTGTTCAATTATTAAGGTAGAAAATTATTATAAGAAATGAATCCATTTAATAAAGAAATCCATTTTAAATAACAGTATATGAGTATCTGGTGAATTTATCATTATTATATTGGTTACATCACAAAACCCATCTGGACCAACTAAAGTGGAACCAACTCACTTAACGGTGCTGATAAATCACTGTGTATTAGGAAGAAATGAAATAAGACTTAGTTTACCCACTAAAGAGTGCTGGGATATAATGAAACCCGTACTCCAACTCTTGCGTCGAAACCCATAATTGGCTAGGAGAAGAGTCTTCAAAGTTATTTTCCTAACTAACTTGACGGAGCTGTCATCCTTTTAAATTAAAGACTCGTTAGGTTAGTTCTCTTCTACTTGAATGTAGAAGTCGCGTCTTAACAAAAACACGCGACTCTAGCTAGTTATGCGCTAGTTGTTTGAGTCGTTTATCCTTAAGGTGGTTCCACAGGTCTAACGTACGGGCGAAACTTAACCGTGGTATTATAACAAACATTTTTTGAGCTTAAGTGAGCTTTGGTTCACAATGCTTTTGCTTTCCTAATGCAGAAGGCTGACTCTTATTTAGTGTATAATATTGCGATTCCAACCTACCTGAAGCTAACCTATTTGTTTCTTAAATCTTTAGTATTTGATAAGATTCAGACTATTACACAGAATATCTCTATATGAGAACGGAAAAAAGAAAATAAAAAATATCAAACTATAGGTTTTTGTGATCTTCTGATGTATTAAAATACTAAACAGATTTAACATACGCAAGGGTAAGAGCAGATATATTTAGAATTAAAAATTATACCTAAAGTCCTTCAAAAGAGCTTGTATTTAAATTAAAATTATTACTTAGTTCAAGAGCTTAAAAGAAATAAATATTTCATATAATTTAAAAGCAATGTCGAACTATTTTGAACTTTATAACGAATTTAACCAGCTTTGGGGTTAAATTCCTTTTGAACGCGAATTCAGAGCAATAAAGCAATCGATTAATTATCGAATGTTTTATGTCATACAAATATCGAATTGAAAGTCAGCATATTTGAATTTGGTCCAGACTGTAGCTATTGCTTCCATGACAAATAATTTGAAACAGTTTTATAACTTTTTCATATCTCATCCCAACGAACGTTTCAATAAGTTATGAAAGGAGAAGAAGAGCACCAGCACTGGCAATAGCAATAGCAACAACAACAGCAACGGCAGCATTCGAACAACAACAAAAAGAGTGTCAACAACATTGCCACAAGCAGCAGCAATAGTAACAGCAATAACAGCAAGACTTTTTCATTATTTTTACGGTTCCCAAGTGAAACATTCTCGATGGTATCATTTGCAGTCCAGAAACCATATCAAGTGCACATAAATTAAGTTTGGCACATTTTAGTAGCAAATTTAGTCAAACAATCGATGCTTGAAATTGGTTTAGACGAAATATTGCTTAATATTTTCTATTATCCGTTTTTTCCCTCTAAATACATATACATATAAATATACATATATATAATACTATACATACTATATACGTTAAAGTTGATCAAATAACCTTCAATTTTATTTTTATTTTATTCGTGTAGGGCCACCAGGGGAACCTGGTACGCGTGGAGAGTTTGGACCGGCTGGCCCACCAGGGCCACCAGGCGAGAAGGGTCCGCGAGGTAAACGTGGCAAAAGGGTAAGTTCATTTCTTTATTTGTATTAAAAAAAAATATTCAATAAAACTCAAATAATCTTGTAAAAAATAGTGAATTTTGTATATACATTGTTGAAAAAATGTAAATATTTGTAATGCGCTTGCAAAATATGAAAAATATTTAAAAAATGTGTATAAAACACTACACCCACATGAACACACAACACACCCTTAACCCATTTGCATGTTAAACGAGTTATGAAAATGCTGATATCAGAAATCGCTGTGCGATGCAAATTATACTTAACTCATTTTATAGAATCGCTGTCATCTCAAACATTTTCCGCAACTTCACCCACTAAACTAACTCAGCTAAACTACTTAACCCAATTCGAGTTGTTCCAATAAAAAATGATAAAATCTGCGCAAAGTATCGCTTAATAAAATCCATAAAATAAAATGTATGATGAACTATAAATTTGTGTGTTTGCCTTATTAAGACAAATTGGCTACAAAGTAATGAGATACAAAACTTACGTGCATAAATACTTGTACTATAAAATATGTCACAATTACGGCAATCAAAATAATAATAATAACAACAACAACAACAATACGTTAGCAGCAGCAACGGTAAGAAAAATGTCAACAGCATGCATAGCAGCAGCAATTGTAGTAATTCAGGAACAACAACAACAACAGCAACAACAAGAATTGATTATGACAAGAACAACAACGACAAATGTCTCAAAAGATACTGCGGCGGCAAAAAGTTTCGGCAATTCTCATTGCAAAGCTGAAATACATTTGCAATATTCTATTGAAATGAATTATACCATAGTTGCGAGGGTTTGAGAGGCCCTGTAGTTGCAAAAGTATACACCTGATGCTCCAAAAATTACATTCCCACGGGCGCAATGAGCATGAAACATTTACAAAATTATTTACTGTTTATGAATTGGACTTTGAGTTGTTTTAAGAAATGAGATATTACAAAAGTTAGACGGAGAGATTTTCTTTTCACCCTACGTTCAGCTTAGTATGCTCAGAGCTACACTCAAGAAAATAGAAACACTACTTTCCAGCCTTACTAACAAGTTTGCTTAGTAATATTTGCCTAAGGTTTGTTTATTTTAATGTTTAATAGGTTACGTTATTGGATGCCTTTACTCTTATATACTGATTGAAATGAACTCAAGTAATTACATAAAACATCTCACCATTTCAATCTTGTATTCCCATTGCTCCTAAGTCGATGCTTACGTTACGTGTCTTTTAGCGGCAATTTATTATTTTCAACGGCAAGTTTTGCTACAAAAATGTTACTACTTTTCAATATCTATAGTTCATATCCATAGGTTCTTCTTTCTACGATAAGTCTTCCCAAAGAGCTTATTGCGTTGTTCTTTTGACCATTTTCTGCAGGCGAGAATAAACCTATCGTATGAATTTTGGGCATATTATTTATCTTCTTTTTGGTAAAAAATTCACTGTGTGCTGTCTCTCTTAAGTCTTACTACAAAAGCTTGATTCAGTGTTTTATCGAGAGGCATATCGAGAGGTACTAAGTAACCCAAACAATTTGTGCATTACAATATAATATATCACGCATTTAGGCTATTCATTTAGACTATTCCGTTACGAACATTCA